GTTTCATATCCGGCTTTGGGACCCCAGCCGAACTTTGACCCACTTCTACTAGCTGAAGATTTGCAGGGTCTAGATCCCCGAGAAAGGTTGACTCAAGCTCGAGTTTCTACAACCCTGGTGCAGCCTACTGAGAGGCTTCGTCTCTCCGATGTTAATAAGCTCGATCCGACTGCAGTGAAAATTGTGAACCTTGAGAAGCAATTCAAAAGGGCACAGGACCTTAACTCCATTCACGACATTGAGGATTGGTCCACCGAGGTTGCCGTAAGGCTCCCAGTCGAGAGTACCAATGCTGGCGGTAGCACTATTTCCAAACCTGCTAAAATCAATACAGTCGCCATAGCTGACCCTTTTGCCAAGGCCAGCCTACAAATAACCAGCCCAGCCCGAGCTCAGGGTAGATTTTTCACCCCCCTCCATGTGAGCCTAACCAGCGCATTCAAAGTTCTGATGGAAAGAGGGCACCTCAAACCCCTTAATCCTCAACCTTCGCCAAATCCACTCCCTGCCAGACATAACCCCAGCAAATACTGTGTATATCATCAACAGCGCGGCCATGGCACCGATGGTTGCTACCGCCTTCGTCATGAGATCCAGAATCTCATTGACAACCAGAATTTGTGTTGAGACTTGTACCTATGCTTAGTTTGTGTCAATCTGTGTCATTTCCTTCAAAAACTTCTCTGATTTGACTCGTTTTACCTCAAGAAATGAAATGCACATGCCATGCTATGCCCTTTTTGAAGATAAATTACATTTTCATCTTTTGAAAACCATTATGCTCAATAATGTCATGCAATTTCAATTGTTCAAAATTAATAATTTATTTCAAGGGTGGTAAATACATCTCTGGTAATCCCTAGGCTGGTGTCTGCAAGTAGACTATGAGTACTACCAAATTGTCCTTTTTACCGGTATTAACTGGAAGGCTCGACACCTATCTGGGCGGATTTTTCGATCTTTCACCCCGGACCCACAGGCCAACTTATTCAATATCATCCACATCACCTATCAAGACTTACAAACATATTTACCCCAAAACCATTCCATGAAAACTTGTTTCTCAACATTCTTTTCTCAATACAAGTTTTCAACTCAACTTTCAAAGTTTAATGTAACCAAATGAATTGATATGCCAATTTGTAGTTGTTGCAAAAACTGTGGACGACATTTTCGCCACTCAAGTTGGGGGCAGTTTGAATCAAGGGGCAAGCCGGGAGAAGGGTTGTTGTATCAAGAACGTTCCTTTCAGCTATAATCCTGCACTCGGAAGAGATCAGCAAACCAGGCCAGCACCTGCTAATCCCTCTGCTGGTGCGCCCAGCAAAAATCCACAAACCTTGAAGTACCAACCCCGAGGTCGGAGGGTCTTCCATGCCCTCTATATGCCTTTGTCCAAAGCTCTCCAAATCCTTATTGGGCAAGGCCATCTCAAAACCCTTGAGCCTCGGCCTCTCCCGAACCCTCTTCTGGCTACACATGATGCTACCCAGTACTGCGGGTATCATCAGCAAACAGGCCAGACTACCGACGACTGCTTTCGTCTGCGCCATGATGTACAAGATCTGTTTGACAACGGGGTCATCCTCCCACCAGCTCAGCAAAGTCTATCGCCACTTGATCGGTGAACTTGTGGGGGATAATGTAATGTGATCGGGGGATGAACCCCCTGCGGATGGCACTCGATTTACTCTAGATATGGCGTATGGCACGCACCGTTTTGAGCATTTGGCGAAAGCTACATTCTGACTTGGGTATTGGGTCAGTCTTGTTGTTTTGTTTTGAGTCTATCTCTTTGTTTTGAGTCAGTCCTTTCATACTGAGTCAGTCGGGTCTGTCTTATTGTATCGAGTCAGTCCTGTTTTGTTAGAGTTAGGTGATTTCGGGGGTGTTACCTTGGATATCACTTGCTTGTTTTATGTTTGTTCTTTTTCTTTCCTTTGAGTCTGTTTCTGCCGAGGAGCCAGTTGTGCCAACAGATTTGAATGGAACAGTAGTGACTTTCACACTCTTGTGTTTGCTTCTGCCGTGTGCCAGTTGTGCCAGAAATTCTAAATGAGATGGCAGTATTTGACTAGAAGCTGTGTCTTTTCTGTGCCTTGAATTCATTGTATCGACCTAAGTTTTCCAAAACCTTTTTCGAAACATTGTGATAAAAACGAAGAGGAAGGAATTCCTCAGGTTTTGCAAAACTTTGATCATTTGAGAGAAAGAGAGGCGTGCTAAACCCTTAATGAATGAAATCATGCTTGTTAGCGTGAGTACTGAGAAGGACCCTGGCTTGATCCAGACTGGTTTCACACTATCTTCAGCGCGAGCGATTTGTCGCTTTCTTAAAAACTTTCAAAAACAAAATATTTTGCGCGGTCCTGCGAAGACTTGTGTGGAATCGCTCTTGAGATTGTGCAGCCTAGGATCGCTCTCAGCCTCGAGACTCAACCCCTTCACTTCCAAACCTTGAACTTGAATTCAGAAGGTTCAACGGTCAACTATGATACGAGGCCTGTGTGGCTAGATTTGAAGCAGCCCTCGAACAAGAGGCCAGGAAAGTCAGATCAAAAAGATCAGAAGAAGCTTGCAAAGCTAGAACAGAAGTACCCCTTGAACTAGGGGCAAAGATATCAGACATGCTCGAAGAGCTGAAGATGAGTCCTCTTGCAAATCAACAGCCACTCTCCTGGATACGGATGGCTTTGAAACCCTATAACCATTTGGCATGGACCAAGCTACACTTTTACCCTTGGGAGGCTCGCTGGGTCGAAAACCCGGAAGGGCGACCCAGGCAAAAGTTAGAGCAAGAAAAAGAAGAAAAAGAACAAAAAAAGAAAAAAGAAAAAAAAAGAAAAGAAAAAAAAGAAAGAAAAAATGCAAAAAAAAAAGAAAGAAAAGAAAGAAAAGAAAAGAATATCAAAAAAAAAAAGAGAAGAAAAGAATTGAAAAAAAGAAAGAAAGAAGAACAAAGCTCGCAAGGTCGAAAACCCGCGACGGGCGCCTTGGCAAAAGTTAGAGCATAAAAAGGAGAGGTTAAATACCCGAGCGTACCTTAACCCCGAACTACGTAAAGCTTGATTCCCATCTTTGGGATACGTAGGCAACTTCATTCTGAAGTCCAGCCATAAACACTTCCATAATCGACTGTGCCCATGCGATGGTTCTGGTCATCTTTGTCTTCTCTGTATCTGAGAGTCTGGTTGTGTTCGTCACTCTGAGGACTGACTACAATGCGCTGCGGGGTGGCGCCGTTCAAACAAGGGGCAACTTTCCGTTGCCATTCAACGCGTCGCGGTGCCGTTCAAACAAGGGTCAACTTTCCGTTGCTATGCAGTTCCCCTCAAGCAAGGGGCAATTTTCCTTCAAATCCGAGGTTGTGCATCTCGAGAGTAGGTTCTGTGCTCGTTGAGCAGTGGTCGTTTGCAAAAATAGTTTTTGAGAATTTTTACTGAGGTTGACTAATCTTCTCGAAAAATACTCCATTTTTCAAAACTGGACCTTTTCTCGGACACAAAAAAAAAAAGAAATCTCTCAGTGCTCATAGCCTAACTTGCATGATTTTAAATCAGAAAATTGAACAAGCATGATTAATCTAACTCTCATTTTGGTCAAAAAATTTTTTAGGAGAAAACTAAAACAAAAAATGGTCAAAATGATGAACTAGGGGCACAGTTGAGTCAGGCTTCCTGTCTTTCCCATTGTCAACATACTTGCCAAGAAGGGCATTCTACCTGCCCGAAGAGGGCACAACTGAAGTTAACAACAAAGGGCTGAAAGCTCTCTCATCCTCCAAGCAACGAGGTATCAAGCTAAGTGCGAAGCACGAACTGGAATGGGACAAGACATTCCACTCCCTTATCCGGACAGATCTGATCATAACCCCTCTGTGGGAGAAACTCACTGTTGTGAACAAGAAGAAGAATCTAGCGGAATGCTAGGGGCACGAGCCCGTAATTTGCTGTTTATCCATCAACCACCCAGGGAAGGGATCGAAAAATGAGAGATTGAAGAATAGAGAGATGTGCGATGAGAGAAAAAGTGAGAAGAGGGCTTTTTCAGAAAAACAGAGCTTGAGGGCCGAGTGATGTGAGAACCACAAATGAGAAAGGGTGGGAAACACTACCCGGTGAAACAGGCTCCCTGTGCACGTCTGAGTGTCGTGTCTTTTTGTTTTATCTCGATTCTTGTTTCGAGTCGTTTCGAGTGTTACTCGATGTGTCTAGGTTGTGTGCCTTTTATTTCCTTGTTGAGTCGTTTTGCTGTGTTCAGTCGTAGGCTCGATACCCTGCCGAGAGCTCATTTATCAATTCCAAAATAAAATCGTTTTGCGCTCTGAATGCCGTGTCGTTCTCCACATCTGTGCAAAATAAGATTCGTTCTTTCATAAAATCGCAGAGAGCACAAAATCAGTCAAACCAAATCTCAGTCAACTCTTAAGAGCCAAAGGAACACTCGTTGGCTCGACAAGGTTCGAGTGAGAAACACCCGTTGGCCCGACAAGGTTCGAATAACAAACACCTGTTGGCCCAATGGGATTTGAATCAACATCAATTGGTCCACTCTAAAAATGTAGGGACTGTTTTGAAAATTCATGAGTTTGCAAAAACGCAAACGGTTCCTTCTATGCCCCTGGGGGCTCAACTTGATACGTCATTCGGTCCAGTTTCGAAAAGACAAGGGCGAAGAAGAAATAAGGCTTTAAAGAAACTGGAACTAAGAACAGTGGCAACAAATGTTATAGGAGCTATTGAAAGGGCTCTCTCGAATGATGAACAGACAGTTGGCTCAGTAGTCCATGTAACTGTCCATTGGGATAGTGAGAAAAGATTAGAGTTTGAAGGTCTGAGTTGATAGAGCGACCATAGCTCTTTTGTTGTAATCTAACTTATTACTAACCTACTAACATCCTATTGTGTGCACAAAAAAAAAAAAAATCATGATACCAATACAAGATTTGATACAACTGGCATAAAGAAGCCAATGCAATGCTCTTTGTAAATGCAAACATGAATCTGAATACCTCCCTATCATATTCAACTCAGCCTGTGTCCTACCCTTTTCAAACATTCACAAGTCACTGTGGAGGAAACCAAGAAGCTACCTGAATAGTTTAGAAGATATAATTTACATGTGTATTTAGATTTCCTTAAACATTCGAAGTCGCAGGCTTGAAATCAAGCATTTCCCTTATATTTAACCGAATGGAAGGCCCCATTGATGAGCATATATGTGCACTTTTCCAGTATACTCCTTTTGCACCAGATGGCTTGTTTGTTTCTACTGATTTCTGTCATGTTAATTAAAGAAATAAAAAGGAAATGCAGTTCAGAAATTGAGTACATATAATTCAGACAGCGCAAAACATGAGAAAGAGAGAGAGAGAGAGCATACTGCTGCAGCAAGCAAGTTCACAAGAAGATCTTCCTCAGAAAAATCTGACTTTCCAAAGGGTAAGTGAACGATCCCAGTTTTATCTGCTCTGTATTCAACTTTGCCCTTCTTGAATTCCTCTATGGCCTGAGACAAACGCAACCTGAATTCATTTCATTTCAGCAAATTTTAAGGGTGAAGGCCATCAGAGAATTCATATATTGTTGATAGCACAGCGTGATGATGACCTTTATTTATTTATTTTTTATAATGATAAGTAAATCGTATTAGTTGGCCTCTAAGGGACATAAATCTTGCATTCACTGTGTAAAATATGTGTACAATCATTTACACGAAGGCAAAGTGTCTCCAGTATCAACAACAAGAAGAAAACACACAGACCAGAACAAAAAATAAAACTGATAGTGTTAAACGGTTCTCCCTTTTACTCAGCCAACCAAACAAGACCTCCAAACAAGGCATAGCAAGAACTGAGAGTCTTCTCTTGCCTTCTAGAAGGAATACCCTTCCTTCGAATTACACACCTATGCCATGCCAAGTAATGCCAATAGCAAGAACTGAACTTCCACTGCAGCCCTAAAAAAGGGCAAGGTGGTCCACTGACAAGTCCAATTTGTAGTCATGTTTGCTCTCCTCCTAAGGCTGTCAACTACGAAAACTCCAATGGGTAACTAACCACTCACAAAAAACCCACCTTTGTAGAGAAGCTTGGCAGTCGCTAAAATAATTTCAATGATACAAAGATCATAATAATTTTTAGTCATTTCTACATTTTTTTTTTCTTCTCTCACAAATCGCTTTTCCTCAGTCTCATTTGTAATTGTCGGTGAAACATAACTTACAGAAGCTATACCATTAATGAATGAAAATTTAACACAAAATATCTCACCTCAGAAGTCTGGCATCTGGAAACATATCCACTAGAACGTAAATGTAGACATACATGCATACATACCAAATTTGTATATATGAAACAAAAAGATCGTACCTGAGGTAAATTAGTTGTAACAGTACCAGCTTTTGGATTTGGCATGAGTCCACGAGGACCCAAAATCTTTCCTAGTTGGGCAAACTGATGGGACAGGAAAATGTAAATAAAGTCAGGCATACGAAATAGGATCTCCAGACAATACAAACACATTAATTTATGCATATGTATTTTTACCTAGAGGAAAGAACCAAATTAATTAAGAATAGATCCTACTATTCTAAGTTAAGCCAAATCCAATATTCCTCTTTTGATCCAACTACTTTGCAATTCTTTCCATCAGTAATTACAACTTTCTCTCTAGCTCTACCTTTAATTTCAATTTCCTTTAAGTTGGCACATG